CAAGATTTTTTTTTTTTTGTGGAAACTATGCATCAAAAAACGTTCAATTATCTTAAGAACGAACCAAATTACGAGCCTCCAAAGATAGGCATGTCAGGCGGCAACCTGGCAAATTTTGCAATTTTGGGGGGGGGGTGTAACTTGGCGAGGAAATCGCTTTTCCAAACTTTCTTCGCGGCTTTCTTTATGTGGCCCAGACCCTATTAATCAGCAAAAAATGAAAAAAATCTGAGAGAGTGATGCACGAAAGTGTGCGATTTAGCATGGAATGGCTCATATGTGTATAAATCGAAGAACGATGTTGAACCAGCACTCATTACCGTGCTTCAAATCTTTGAAAACAGTTTTTTCTCATGTTTTCCTTACAATATTCCTTCTCCTACAGTACCCAGATGTTAGTAGAAGTCCTAAAAATCCCTGTTCTTTCAGCTTCAGACTCCTCACCTTACCATCTGACGTTATATATTAACCAAATGTTCTGATGGTTTTTGAGAAACTTCAGTTCTCTTATGTCCAGTCTCTCAACTATTTCAAAATATTCATTTCACCAAAAAGACCCACGGATTTTTATTGCTGGTAAATGTGCAGCAAAAAACCCTCGAATAAAATTCCAAAAAGAAATTTTTTTCATTTCTTTAGAAGATACCCATCTCACAAAAAGAGTTACTGGAAAGAAACCCTAAAAAACCCAAAAAAATCTGAACCGCAACTTTCTATCCTAAAAAGTACCATGCGCACTCACTATCCATAGAACTATTAATGCCCTTCCCTCTTCCTCTTTTTTCTTGCTAGAGGGGTTCCTCTACTCATTTTGCACTTGAAAAACTACCATTGGAAACAAATTACTGTGGTCAAAAGTGGGCGCAAATAGTGTTTAAAGCTACAAAACACTTCTTTGTACAAATGACACGACTATCTCAGTTCAGTTCCGAAACGAAAATTACAAAAATTTCTCTCTTCTGCTCAAATATTTCACATCTATTCGACAATAATTTTCCTTTTACACCACCTATGTGTCCTCTTCTTCTTCCATTCCCTGTATTTTTAAAGTCCCTATTGATTGGAAGGTTAAAAAGTTTGAGTCCTATTCAAGTGCTCAAAAAGTCAATAAAGTCGCGACATCCAACAGAAGTACGGACAAGAAGAACAGAAAATTGTGGTATATTTTGAATAATGCGAGCCAGCGTTTCTCCAACTTTTTTAGCCCGTCACTCCAATTTTGAAAATAAAAATTTGTCACTTTTCGTCTAAATCGCTTCCTTTCTCTTCATTCAACCGATCACACTCAACTTCATGTTTTAAACTTAATTAAGCCAAAAATAAGGCACGAGTCATGTATATAATAGCTCATGCTCATCAAAATCTGTAGTGACGAGAAAAGACACGGCAGTTTTAGAAACCGCTTAAGTCACACTAGTAAAAGCAATTAACCTCAATTTCCGGTTATTTGGTCACTGTCCGATGTCTTTAGCACTCTTTCCGAAAATTTACAATTGTAGAAAAGAACCAGGACAAAGGAAGAAATGATACGGACTACAGGGCGCCAAAGTATTAGAAATTCCAAGAAAAAAAAATGATAGAATACAAAAAGAAACGGAAGAAGACACGAAAGTGTTGCTTGGAACTCCACCACACATGAGCACTGCACGTTGATTAAGACAACGAGACACAAAATGTTAAAAGTTCTAAAAACCTGAAAAAGAAACAGTAAATAAACGAAATATAAAAAGACCAAAGCTGTTTCAGAAGATCGTCATGACACCAGACTAGAATGCTCAACTGCATCCCAAAAAACAATAACTGCTAGTAGCTAATCACCTTGTTCTGGTCCTTTTTTAAACCATTGCCTTTCATTGACGACCTCTTTTCTATAAAAGACCATAAAACTATAGCGCCATGCTCCTTAATTGAAACTTAATCGGAAACTCTTGTTTGCCCACTACACTTAAAAGCCATTAGCACTCCGCTTATCAGCGAAGAAAATATATTTTTTAGATTACATGAGAAAGGTGCCATAATCTTGAGATTAATAATTGGCTCCAACAGCAGCGGTCCGCTATTTCCCTGGACGAACGAAAACCCAGTCTAAAGTGGATAAAGTCAATGCCCGTAATACGGTCCAAATTTTAGCTTTTAAAAAAATAAAGAAAAGATCGAATAAAATGACCTGATGCTTCGTTGACCACTTATTTATTTCTTTTCCAATGTTTTTCATCTCTTAGGATAATAAATTGGGGCCTTTACACTACACATTGAATTTGAGCATATTTCTTGTGAATCGTACAGGAAGTACGGCTGAAGTGTTCTACTTGTAAATCCTGGCAGCCTTCTTCTGGAGTCGTAAAAAACAGCACGTAGTTCTTAAATTCCTTCAGAACAGCGCTTCACACGGAGACCCAGAGTTGGCAGAAGCACCAAAATTTTTACAGTTCGCTTGATCGTTTCACAGCCCCCTATGATATAAAAGAACCTAAAACGATATGAAAGTTTAATGCAGAGGCGCTTCCCAAACTATTTCTCATCCTTCTCCTATTTCCAGCATAGCTCCTGCGTTTTGTAAAATCTGAGTCCTCTGCCAAAAACATTGCTACGGTTGTTTCCTTCCAAAAGCTTGATAATGGGAAAGTACAAGTGACGCCGCCTTCTACTGCAAGGAAAAGCTGATTCAAAACAGAGCAAAAAAGTTCTCAGTCTTCTTAATATTAGCAATTTTAAGCTCCCAATTTTTACTTCCGATAATTTCCAGTCGAAAAATGGTCAAAATAGTATACATAATTCGACGTTTAAAGTAACGAACAATAACTTACCAATAAAAAATTCACCTAACCTCACAAGTCTTGGAAATGCTGAGTAATGCAACTTCTATTAACCCCCAGAAGTGCCAATGGAAAAAAAAAAAAGAAAGAAACATGCCGTGACATACAATAGCAGTTAAGCGAATTTTATGCTTGCCGCCTTTTAAATCACTTATAACATCCTCCCCTCTACACCAAACCTCTCATCCAACTGAGGAACTACCAAAAAGACTTCAATTAACATGTTTAAAACAAGAAAATTCCCTGTCAAAGACAAGTAGAGTGACGAACGTCAACATCTGGTGCACGCGAAGGTGCGCACCTCACAGCACCTCCACTATAAGTTAAAGCTCTAACCTTTGATCCGAACGAACCAGTATTACTACAACCACAAATCTGTTGTCTTTATTAGGTCAAAACTAACGAACACTAAGGAACTTACAGCAAGCAGACGTCAAAAGTGAATTTGTGAGTACCTCAACCTCAAAGCCCAATGAAACAATCGCCGTTTAAGTCTTATATCAGCCTTACACATACATCAGCTGTCTTCACTACTTTTATGCTTTCAATAAATTTATATACAGCCTAATAAACATTTGAATGAAACGCTTTTTACAAATACAGAACAACCACTCCTCAAACATAATTGACAGCTCTGAATTTATCAACCTAAATCATTCCAATTTACTGCACATTCAAGAATAAAAATATTTCTAAAACGCTATGCAATGAATATTAAAAAAATATAGGTTAAACTTAAATGTAATATATCTGCAACAAAGTACACTTTCAGTTCTATAACTTCACATATCACAGTGATTCACTGATAAAGCAAGATTCGATTACCGAAATAGCATTTGAACTATAAAATCTTGGACTGAATTGAGGTACAAGTCACAGTTAAAAGCAAAAGCAACAAAAACAGTTAAATTATAAACACAAAAAATGAAAATTAAGCAAGAAAATCATTAGAAACTTCAAGAATAGCCAGATCCCCATTGTCTACAGATTCACTTTCACGTCTTATAGCCGGCTTAATGCGCTGTTTTAATGATAAATGGATAGACATCCTGCCCAAATGAACAACACGACCAGTTTCAACCAAACGTGGGTCCATGAACTTCTGAATTTCCACATCCGCACTAAAACGAAAAATAAAATTAAAAAACTTTCAGAAGTCGTAAGCCTCATATATCAGGATCATACAAGATCAACAAACAATTTCTAGACCAGCGTAAGTAAGAAACTCAAGAATATCGTTGCTAAAGTGAATTTTTAAAGTCGTCAACGCGAATATTCAGTCAGAAACTTTGAATTGCTTCTTACAACATATTAAGTTTGTAATAAAAGTCTTACCGCATTCCATGAAACACTGCAACTGTAGTAAAATTAACAGATTCACTTTGTAGATTTACAAACGCATGTGATCCAATAGGATTCGGGTTTTTGTAAAACTCTACACGAACACCTTCTGCCTGTAAAAACCACCTCTGTGACGAACAAACAGACAGCAAGACAAACAAATTGAACAACACAAGGGAAAAAATACATAAATGGTCTGCACCACTATCCAAATTAATCATTCCAAAAACCTCAAAAAGCGTATTTCCTGACTGCACGATCCAAAAACATAAAATTTATGGGTAAATAAAGCATCCAAATAAAATGGCATCTTAAAAAAAAAATAAAATAACTACTGACAGTGCAAATGCACCAAAGGAGCTCATTTTCAAGCCTAATTGCCCTATCTTAACTAAATACAACACCGAAGTATAAATGTTAAAAAAACTGTTGTAAAGAAGGAGCATTTCAATTACTTTGAATTTTGCTCCAGTTTCTGAGTCTTCAACAATAACTACCATACGGCTTGTTGAAGGAGAATCACCGTGGTCCATCGAATGACCCATAAGAGAAACACAGTCGCCGCTGTCACTCATAAATACTCCCTACAACATTAAGATTACTTATGAATGCTTATGGGCCGAAAGTGGAACATTTAGATGTGACTACAGGCAAAAGGCTAAAAGATTCTAAAATTAAAACTGATGAGTATACCTGAAAACTCTTTTTCCAGTCATCGAAAATTATCCTGGCAATACCTTCTTCATCAAGTGAATGAACAATGCCAGTCCTTCCATAGCTCATACTTTCAATTGGAATCTGTAACTGAGGGTAGCATTAAGCACAAGAAAGCAAGAAAACATGAACATTGCAAATGACCTAATTTCCCCCCCCCTCCCCCCCGGCTAACTGAAACACTTGTTAGCTTAAAGATTTACTACGAAGAAAGATTAACCTTTGGATGAACAAGTTCCGACCTGATGTTACCAAAAGATGCTGAAAACTGATTCTTGTTGACCACTCAAATTAAAAATGAGTTTTCAAGCAAGTAATGTCCTTGATTTTTCAATGGAAGGAAAGTACAATAAAATGCTCTCTGTTACTTTAGGTCTTCTCCCTTGATTTCGCAAACAAAGTTCCTTTCAAACTACTGCTCTTCTGGTTCTTTTAAAACACACACCAGATGCATACATTATTCTCAAACTGAAGAGTCAAAACATAGACTAGAAAATTAAGTCAACTTCAGCGATGACGACACTAAGCAAACTGGTAAACAACCGATAAACAAATCTGCTTGAACGATCTTGAAACAGCAGAAATTAAACGTGCCGAACAAACAGTTATGAAACCAACTGTTGTAAACAATGACCAGAGTCTAACGAATGAAAAGAGAAGAAGAGAAGGAAAGACAAAAAGTCAGGGAG